CACCTTTTAAACCTAGTTTAATTGAAAATATCCCTGGCCTTCATGGTCGGGGGTTGCTTGTTTTGATCAGGAAAGCTTGTTTTGCCTTCCCTCGAAAAGCCTGCATCTCAAGGCCTCATGTGGGCCTCCACATAAATGCCGCATTGTTTCAGGAGCTTGCATAGGTGGGAGGGAAGAGGGGAAGCAGAGAGAGACCTGTTGTGGCTCTTTTAGCCGATTAGCCTTATTAAGAGAAATTAAGCCCAGTCTGCAGGCTTGGAGAATCTCTCCAGGCTCCCTTCCCTACCTGCGCTCTTATTCCTTTTCTATGACAGGAATGTATAGATAAAGGAAGGGGGTGAAGGTGAGAATGAAGTTAAGAAGCTTAGCAGCTTAAAAGCCAAGACCTTTCACTTCTGGGAGGGTAGGCATTAAAAGTCCCTGGATCACTGGTGCCAGGAGTGCCAGTATGGATTTTTCTACAGTGATCTAACCTCACTCTCACTTACTTTTCCATTTACTTTTCCCTTTTAATATTGTCCCATAGAATCCTTTCATAATTATTTGCTTTAGGGATACAGTTTTCCCTCCTGTAGGGACAGCTGATTATTTGACTGATTGGTTATGTTCCATCAAGTTGGTGACAACTGTTAGCGACCACATAGATTTTCTCCTTGGTGATCTGTCCCTAACCTTCCAATAGTGTACCCACTGGAGCTGTAACTGAGTCCATCCACCGTGATGCTGTTCATCCTCTTCTCTTTCCTTCCACCTTTCCCAGTATTAGAGCCTTCTCTAGAGAGCTAGGTCTTTGCATAATGTGTCTGAAGTAGGATACTTTGAGCCTCATCATTTGTGCCTTGAGTGAGAAAGAGTTGATTTGTTTGATGATTCATTTGTTTGTTTTCTTGGCTGTCCACAATATTCTCAGGAATCTTCTCCAACACCAAAATTCAAAAGCCTCAATATCTTCCTATCCTACTTCTTCAAAGTCCGGCTTTTGCTTCCACAGAATGCTGGCTGGGGAATTCTGGGAGTTGAAGTCAACACATCTTAAAATTGCCAAGATTGAGAAACACTGGGATAGATTAACGAGCCTGCATGAGACACAAGCTAAGACAAAACAAACTGGGGAGGACTGGGGGCAGAACAGGACCGCCCCTCTGCCCCAGTCAGAACAGCCTCTTCTCTTGTTTTGGAAAGAGAAATATTGTTTTTGGAAAGAGATGAAGATTTTCCTCTTTCACCAGGCGTAAGGAACGCAGGTGGTTGCATAGGATATCACTGTACTTTGGGCCTGGTCATTGCTTTTTTGCTGAGCCTTTGTTAAATTTTATGGCTTTTAGGTTGATTTTATGGTTCTTATGCTTGGAGGCTTTGTTTATACTAATTGTTTTGAGCTGCCCAGGGTCTACGATTGGGGTGCCATGTTGAAAATAAATAATTATGCCTCTCCTAAGAAAAGGAAACAGGGAAAAATGATTCTCAGACTTAGCAGTCCTCAGAAGTCAAGCATGACTATTGTGCCTGAGGCTAAATTAAAAAAAAAAGAAACCTTAAATTTGTGACCTGTTTTATAAATTTCTCATGACCTCCTTTCATTAATGGTATCTTTAAGTGCATTTGCTTTTCTTCTAGCATAGCAAGGTGAATGTGAAATGAATGAAATAATGTGAAAGAATTTAAATTACCTGCTGGTAGAACCATTACTTTACTTATCTTTGCTTTAAACTTTAGTTAAATAGGGAAAATCAGACCAAAATTGTTTGGAACTATTGCTTTACTTATATTTAAGTTCTTCTAATTAAAGAGTGAGAGAAAATCAATCCAAGTCTAAAGTGGTTTGGAAGTAGAGTTGAGCATTGGAGTGATTATCTGATGCTTCCTGTAAATCAGGTAACAGATATGAGCTCCTTTGGCATTTCAACAGAGCTCTGAATTTGAGTTCCACATCCTGCTCATATTTCCATTTCTCTTACTCTGGGTTTGTAGCTTGCTGTTTCTTCTCAGTGCCATGCTATTTTATTGTATCTTATTAGCAGCACTAGTACAGCTTCATTATATTTCGTTAGTTTATCCTAGTCTGAACTCAAACCAGTCCCCCTCCTCAAGTCTTCTAGAGCAGAGAAACAGGATCCTTAAGTCTTTGGGCCTTCTCCTGCTTCCTCTTTTTGGAGAGAAAGCAAATTCCTCAGGGGATTCTGGCCCAGTTATACAAGATCTGTTCGTTCCTGTTGGCTGGGAAAGCCTCTTAAAAATAATGAAGTAGTTTCTTTCTGCTAAAGAAACTTCTGGTCCTTTAGCAATTTTACAGAATAAGCATCTGCTGACCCACATCCATGCCCTTTAAACAGCTTGGTCCTTGAGCTGCAGGTCAATCTGGAGGAGTCTGGCTAGAAGCCACTGTAGATTATCACTGCTGTTGGCCATTGAGACCTTGAGAGCCTAGGCTGAAGAAAAGCTTTTGCTGGCTAGGAAACTGTAAACAGAAGGCTTCTTCCAAGAGTTATATGGATATTGTCGTGGAGTGAACCCCTTAAAGAATTGTCCCATCCTTCCTCAAATTATACCTGGCAGAAAGAGGTGCTTCTCAAAGACTTTTTTCCCCTGGAAAGGAAAGGCACAGAGTATCCAGGTCTGTATATTTATATGGGCAACATTGTTTTATTTCATTGTATTTACTTAACTGTTGTCTTGTTAATTCTGATTTGTTGACTGATTATGTACCATCAAGCTGGTGTCAACTCTTAGTGACCTCACAGGTAGATTTTCTCCATGGTGATCTGTCCCTAACCTGGTCTTTCAGATCTTCCAGCGGTGCACTCACAGCCACTGTAACAGAGTCCATTCACCATGCTGGGCAATGGAAGATGTCCAACCTGTTTTCCTTAAGGACAAATACCGATCCGATACCTTAGTAAGCTGATCAATATGTGTCAGTAGAGACCAAGTTCATTTGCCTTAAAAGCTTTTAAATTGAGTTGCTGTTGCTTTATGAAACTTAGATAAAGAAAATAATTTAATAATAACTACCCCAAAATTGTTTTTTACACACTGTCTGCTGTATGGCTTCAGGTGCACAGCTTTCTAATTTCCTTGGAGTGTGAATGAATTAGTCCCCTGGCTTGTCGATTCTTGTGTATAGAAATGCATACAGAAATGTGTTGCTACTACTAACTCTGCAATATGCACATGTCACATTCATTTATTGATCTGAGAATAAATTCTGTTAACTCAGAGTCTATTCATTGTTAGGTCATGCCATCCTTTATCTATGCATATGTGCAAGCCAGCAGCAAAGAGAGGCGTACAAAGTATATAAAACTATAGGTTATGTGCCCGTCAGTCAGTCCTCTTGTTCTCAATTAAGTGAATCAATTAAGGTCACAATGAAGATGAGAATCTTCCTCTCCTACTTATTCAGGGATAATCTTTATTCTTTGGTAAGAAAGGATTTTATATTTTAGAATGTTTAGACATGTTGCATGGATGCATATATATAGACTTAAAGAAATAATGGTCTGAAAACAGTTTATGGCATTCATTTTAATGCTATTGTGAGTTTCTGAATGTCGTCTTTCCTGCTGTGTATTTACTCCATCGGTCTGTTAATTATTACATTTCTCTTTTCCTTCGTGGCTTACCTTTTGTTGCCTCTCCCTCTATTGACGTTCAGGCTGTAAGCTTCTTGAAACAAGGACGTACCTTCTAGGTTTTTTTCTTCTTCCTACCGTTTTCCTGCACGTGCAGGGTCTGCTTTTTTTTCCTGGGTCAACTGAATGTTGATCCGTTGGTTGCAACAGGAATTGACTGGCTGGCTTGTCGCCTGAGCCTGAAATCGTGGGCTGAGAGCGACTGGCCCAAAGTCGCCCAGCTGGCTTTCATGCCTAAGGTGGGACTAGAACTCACAGGCTTCTGGTTTCTAACCTGGAGCCTTAACCACTAGACCAAACCGGCTCTTGACTTGCCTTCTGGTTTATGTTTTACTATATGTATTGTACATCAATATAAATACATAACAGGTTTAGCAGTGAAAAAACTCGGTGTGTTGAATTTGAAGTTATTGAATCTATATGATTTACAACCTGAAAGAGAAGAGGTCTGTATGTTTGTGTGCACGTGTATTTCTGTTTAGCAGCGTCTTTAGAAAGATGATGTAGGGAAGCAACATAGCTCAGTAGTAGGACCTACACTGTTCCCAGGTAGTAAATGTTGAAAAAGATGATTGAGAAATAGATGGACAAATAGGTTGATGTTGTATAACGAGATCAACTCTTTCAAATGCAAGGGCTAATGATCCAGTTACTGTACTGCATTATGCCAGCATATGGAGCAGTCTCCCACAGTCTTATTTTTATTTATGTTTAATTGGCTTTAATTGTTTTGGATTTGTTTTTAACTGTTTTTTTAATGTACACTCACCCAGAGTCAAGTCTGTGAGATGGGTGGCTATATAAATTTGATAAATAAAATAATAAAAGAGCAAGGCTAATAGAAGTCCAGTGCAGGCATCCAGAAAGGAAGGCAACAACAACAGCAGCAACGAAAAGAACAGAGTCTAATGGCTGCTGCATTTGCTCTGCAGATACTGCATAGCACTGTTGAAAGAAGACTACGCTACGATAGGGTTTTGTCTTCAGGGTCAGCTGCGAAAGTATTGGAGCAACTTAATACTTAGAAGTGGCTGGGAATCAAGTTTGAAGATCTGAACATCAAATGACAAGAGAAAAGAAACCAAAGGCCATTTAAAATAGCTACTAATGGAGCCAGGCATATTTCTCAGGACCAACTTCCATGAGAGATAGGCCACCACTGAGAAGGTTCTATCTTTATTATTGCTAGTATTACTAATCTGATTTTTATTTATATTTTTTTGGTTTCTTGGTCTTTATATAGACCAGTGTTTCTCAACCTTGGTGGCTTTAAGATGGGTGGACTTCAACTCCCAGAATTCCCATGCCGGCTGGGGAATTCTGGGAGTTGAAGTCCACACATCTTAAAGTTGTCAAGGTTGAGAAACACTGGGCTAGCCTATCGCTTTTAAGCCTCTGTACTTAGCACTGGAAACATGACACAAAGCCAGCATTCTGTGAGTTACACAGTCCATTGGCCCACTTGTTAGTCTTCATGCCCGAGTAGAGGCAGGTATTCTCAGGAAAAGGTTCTGAAGGCTCCAAGAATTTTGGTTTGGGGTAATGATACACATATAAAGCTCCCTCAGCTGGAGTTCTTTGGAACTTCATATTGATAACCAGAGCATGAACAGCAAAAGGCTCAAGGTAAATATCTTTGAATTCAAGCCAGGACCCATTAACTGGACATGCTGTTACCTTGGTGATAGTGGCAGTGAAAGCTTGGAGGTCTGCTCTGTTCAATTTACATGACCTTTTACTGGTAAGGTCACTTGCATCTGCACATGCTATGGCACAGATGGACATGGTCAGAACACTGTTTGGAGGCTGAAGCCTATCATTAGCTCAGTGGATCTTTACCATCCATGACTATTAAGATTAGCCAGGGCTGAACTTTTAGTATGGACCTCTGAGATGACCAATGCATTTTCAAGGAGGAGTATGAATTTTACTGTCCTGAGGAAGACATTTGTAGAGACTAATTCAATCTTTCCCAATATTTGGTTTTAAAAAGTGAAATTTTAAAAATGAAAATTACCCCAAACAACAATGTCCGTGCTCTGCTTTTTTAAAGAATGACACCATCAATTAGTAATACTAATACCCAACTTATCTGGAGGACACCAGGTTGGAAAATACTGTTCTAAATTTAAGGGGCAAGAAATGATGCAGATAATCAGAAAGGAAGGGTGAAGCCCAAAGCAACTGATGGTCTGTTGGCTGTCTCTGCATTCTGCTCCTGTGACCATTCTTGTTTTGTCTTGGCTACAATCTGTGCTTTGCTTGCTTTCAGGTTCCTTCTCTTGTTTAGGCAATGGGCAGAGATGATGTGGAGCAAGGGCAACTGCCTGAGAAAATGAAGCCTCCGGATGGTGGCTGGGGCTGGATCATATTACTAGGCTGCTTCATCATCACTGGCTTTTCTTATGCTTTTCCAAAGGCAGTGAGCATTTATTTCAAGGACCTGATGCATGATTTCCATGTGGGATATAGTGATACCGCTTGGATCTCATCCATCATGCTGGCTATGCTGTATGGAACAGGTAAGAATTCCACAGATCCAGAAATGAAGCTATTTCCACATCTTTAGAACAAAATGTATACAACCACACTAATGCCATCAAACATTTAGCTATTTATTGGGAACGGCTATGCAAAAATCAACCCTCTCCATCTCTCTTCCCTCATTCCCATTCACAGGCCACTGCTACCACTACTTTAAGTTTTGCAGAGGCTTGTGATATCTACTGAGTTCTTTAAAAGCCTTCAATCCCAATATTTTTTGGGGGGGGGATGTTAAGGAAGAAAACCCCTAGATCCACCAATATGCAAATAAGTGAATGATTTTTTTTTTAAGGTTGAAAAGTTTATCTCTATTCATTCTATTCAGGACACACACACAAACAGTAAACCCCACAAGCTAAAAATAGCTTTCCCGACCCTGCCCTAGATCATGAGTCATGTTATGTTTTTAGCAACCACCCCAAGGGCTTCCTTGCATTTTTGAAAAGTCTAGCACAGAAGGCCTTATTCCAGGCCAAACATTAAAACAGCAAGACAACCTGCAGCCTTTGGCTTAACTGCCTGCGAGCCTCACCCTATTAAAAAAATCCTTTATGAGCGCTACATTCAGATCTATACCAAAAATAGGTTGTCCTTTCTGTGTAAGGAGAAAGAAAATGAAAGGGAAGACTATGTCAGCAAAATAAAGTGAGAAAGAAAAGGGGGTGACACAAGAAGAGTTTAGGTGGCTGTGCCCACCGTCACACGCAGTGCAGCTCCCAGCAGTTCTTCCTGTTGGAATTCAGCCCGTGACAACCAAAACTGACATTCTTTCTCACACTTTAAGTACACCCAAAGACAGGATAAGATACCATCCAGCATTCCAGGAAGCTCTGTAGCAAACAAGACACTTTGCAGCTCTTTCAAATCTCTTACTTTTTAATATTTTTAGCATAACCCTACATTTTAAAGCTTGCAGTTTTTCAGTCTTCCTGAATTGGGTGACCTCCAGTGATGTTAGTCTACAATGCCCAGACAGCAGGGACTTTAGCCATCTAGCAGCACCTGGTTAGGGAAAACTCTTATCCACACTCATTGCTAACTCATGAAAGCAACAATCTAACACCAGTTCCACAGCTAGCACTCCTGAAGCTATGTCATTTTTTTCTGCATATGCAAAGCTTACATTTCTCAGTCTCCACAGAAAACTTGTAAGTAGTGATGGCAAAGGTGCCTTCACCTACTCACAGTTCCAAGCCAGCTTAAGATCATTTGCCATTTGGCATCAGGAAGTTGCTGCAGTCGTGCATTCATTTTATATCATTCTGGCCCTGCCTCTTTTCTGATTTCTTGGATTCCCTGCAGGACCTGTGAGCAGCATTATGGTGAACCAGTTTGGATGTCGGCCTGTGATGCTTGCGGGGGGCCTCCTGGCTTCCTCTGGAATGATTCTGGCCTCCTTCACCACCAACATTATTGAACTGTATTTGTCTGCTGGAGTGCTGACAGGTTAGCATTTGCAACATGGGAAAAAGCTTTGTTGTGCAAGTCTACTTCAGAAAACAATAGGGGGCATGAAATTGCTGAGGCATTGTCAGGATGATGTTTAAAAATGCCCATGATACAAAAGTAGTCTTAAGCCCCTTTCCTGTTCTTTGTACCTATGTGAGTGTTGCTCTGATGTATGCTATAAAACGTGGCTCTAATATTTATACTTCAAATTCTATGCTTGAGTGAAGCTCATATATGCTCCTGCTGATTCTAAGTGGTACTATCTAAAGTAGAAATTGCTGCAAATAAGTGATGAAAGCAGGCATGGGGGACCTATGGCTCCCTAGATATTTCTGATATACAGCTGTCAGAAGGCCCACTTAGCACAGCCAGTGAGAAGTGATTCTGAGAATTGTAGTTCAGCAACATACAGTGGGCCATAGTTTTTTAATCCCTTGTGTTAAAGGACAACTTGCATAGATTAAGTTAGATTAAATAGCATATTTTTGTGGGGGCGGGGAGCTTCACTTCAAATACAGGGACCTTGAAACTTTCGCATCTGTTGAAAGCTGATGTCTTTCCATCAACTGCTAACTCCCTTTGCAATTTTTTCAGGGTTAGGAATGGCTCTCAATTTCCAGCCTTCTTTGATTATGTTAGGATCCTACTTTGACAAGCGTAGACCACTAGCCAATGGGCTAGCTGCAGCTGGAAGCCCAGTCTTCCTTTCAGCCCTATCTCCACTGGGTCAAGTCTTGCTGGAAAAGTTTGGCTGGCGAGGGGGATTCCTCATCATGGGGGGCCTCCTCCTAAATTGCTGCACGTGTGGAGCACTCATGAGGCCCTTGGCAATTGGCATTAAGAAGACAAGGGAAAAAGTCATGGACACATATGAAACTAAAGAGATGTTGCCAATGGGGGGAAGAGCAGAAGAGGTAGCCAGCACCATGGACAATGCTAAGAAATCCAAGAAACCCAAGAAGAAAAAGGCCAAGAAAATGAAAAAGTTATTAAATTTTTCTATCCTCAAAAGCCGGGGTTTTATCATTTACACCATTGCCAAGTTCATAATGGTTTTGGGCCTCTTTGTGCCCCCAATCCTACTGGTCAACTATGCCAAAGACATAGGAGTGCCTGACAAAGAGGCAGCATTTCTCTTGTCCATCATTGGCTTCATAGATATCTTTGCCCGTCCATCCTGTGGGATGCTTGCTGGGCTGAAGTGGATACGGCCCCATGTAACCTACTTGTTCAGTTTTGCCATGCTCTTCAATGGCCTGACTGATATCTTTAGTGCCAGGGCCAGCACCTATACATCGCTTGTCATCTTCTGTGTTTTCTTTGGTATTTCCTATGGAATGGTGGGAGCTCTGCAGTTTGAAGTGCTCATGACTATCATTGGATCACAGAAATTCTCCAGTGCAATCGGGCTTAGCTTGCTCATTGAGGCCCTTGCTGTACTCATTGGACCACCCTCGGCAGGTAAGTCTTACCACTTCTCTTTCGTAGAGTTTCTTTTGAAGTAGGGCATATCAAGGCTTAGTCCTATTTATTTATTTTATTTCTCACATTTATATAGCCACTCATCTCACAATAAAGGTGAGATTACAATAAAAAAAACTTTGACTCTAGGTGGCTTACAATAAAAAAATCATAAAATCCAAATGTTAAAAATATCAGCAATATTATTATTAACAAGATAGTGGAAAGAACTGATGTTAAAAACAATGCAGCCATCTCATCAACTCACCATTGCCTTGAGATCCCCAGACTTGCTGGCACAGCCATGTTTTAAGGGACCTCTGGAAGGATGTCAAGAGTGGGGCCAATCATACCTCAGGGGGGATGATGTTCCACAGGGTGGGTGCTATGGCAGAAAAGGCCTGCCTCCTGGGTCCCACCAGATGAAACTCTTTTGCAGACGGGACCCACAGCATACCTCTTCTGCCAGACCTGATGGGACAGGCAGATGTAATCAGGTGGAGGTGCTCCCTCAAATAGCCTGGCCCCATGCTATGAAGTGCTTTAAAGGTCAAAGCCAGCACCTTGAATTAGACCTGGAAGCAAACTGGCAACCAATGCAGCTTGTGGAGTAGAGGTGTAATGTGTACCATTCTAGGGGCACACATAACTGCCTGCACCACTGCATTTTGCACCAGCTGAAGCTTTTGGATACTTTTCAAGGGCACCCCCATGTAGAATGCATTACAATAGTCCATTTGGGAGGTGACCAGGGTATACATGACTGTGAGCAGAGCCTTCCGGTCCAGGAACACGTGCAACTGGCACACAACATGAAGCTGGGTAAAAGCCCTCCTAGCCACAACTGCCACCTGCTCTTTGATTTACCTTGTCATGCTCAGTCTTTAAGGTGATCATAAATGAGTGATGTTGAATGTGGGTGGAATGTCCATTCCATTAAGTAACCACCAGGAGCCTTAGTATACCTGTGGTTAGAAGGCAAACATTTGGGCCTTATTTTTTAATATTGTGTATTTCACCAGTTGACATGCTGCTGGGAATGAAGAGGATTATTGCCTAATATACCTAAAAGGCACCAGGTTGGAAAGCTGAGTTAGATCCTAGGAACTTGATGCTGGAACTTAGAAATGAAACCTGTGAATCTGAGCATATTCACAAATCAGTCCGAGTTAAATTCTGGCTAACTAAAGCAGAGTGGGCAATCTGCATTCCTCCAGCTCTTGCTGGACTGCAACTCTTATTAGCTATTAAGATTGTCCAGGTTCATGGATACTTTTCAACATTTTGAAGGTCCCATATAGTTCATCTCCACATTACAGAAATGACATAGTGATTCTATCTCTTCTATAGTGATTCCAGTGGAGCCACAGTCAGTAATTCTGTGACTGAACACGGGGATGTATGAAAAGGTGTATATGTGCATGTTTAAGTTCTATATTTCTAAAACAGCAAACTTCCAATTAATACAAGCTGCAAGTTCAAGCATCTTATATGACATCCATATGAAACTGTTGGAATCCATTATAATGCAACTATGCTATGCTTGGTTTCAAAATTGCAGGACGACTGGTGGATGCACTCAAGAAATATGAGATTATATTCTATCTGGCTGGCTCAGAAATTGTGTTGTCTGCTCTCTTCCTGGCTGTTGCTTCATACTGCTGCCTGAGCATGGAGAAAGAAACTACCTCTCAGCCAGAAAATCCTTCTGTAGTTGGAGGTAGCAGTGAAATGGAAGAAGCAGAAGCAGTTCTACAGGAAGCAAAGGATAGCCTTGACAATGACCAACATCTGACCCACAGTGCTGACAGTGTTGAGGTGACCGAGTGAATCATATTGCAAAATACAAAAATGTTGGACAGCCAAAAGGGGAGAATATAGCTCTGGTCCCAGATGGCTGCCGTATTGATCGCACAGAGAAAGGAGAATTTTAGCAATGTAGAGATCCATCTGGGGTAAACAGAGACACAGTGACATCAGCACATGGGATCTGATTTGCTTGAGGATATGAAAAGAATAAATCCTTGAATGGTATGAGGGCAGGGAGAGAATCCTGAGGAAGTTTTTTTAAAATATATATACATATAGTCAGAATGGTACTGTAAACAAAGTGATATGGAATCCAGACCATAGTATACCTCTCCCATGGATAAAGAATTGCATAATTCTCTTTGATATTCCATGGGTTTGCACTCATGCATAGATCAACACTGACATTAGCGACTGCTAATTCAACATAACATCTATCCATCTACCTCTACAGTTCTAGTGCTCAGCAAAACAAAACCATGTGATTATTCTAGCTTGTACATGTGTTTACTTGTAATATCAAAGAGGTAGGATGGAAGAATCCTCATAGCTAGGATTGAAGAAGGAACAGTGTTACAGGCTGGCAAGCAGTATGTTTCATTTTAAAAGTGTGACCTGATATCACATCCTCATTTACTGATAGTAAGAAGATGCTTGCATTTCTCTTGGTCAGCGTCAGCAGCTTTTATCCCTTCTAAATTAGCATTAGGTGACAGATGGGTTGGCCAGACTGTAAATTTTAGAATATGCCTGTTCAATAAACATGACAGGAAACTAGAAACAATTTTTAGCTATGCCTTGAATAGGAGATAGTCTAATGGTGCTACTGAAATTACAGTTTTTGTATGCCTAGTGCAAATATATCAGATATGCTATGGCTCAACACTCAAACCAAACTTGTAAACTGTGAGTGCCTATCTTTTGTGGGAAAGATCTGCTACTAGAAGCTAAGAAACAATCATCATCATCGTCATCATCTAGGTCCTCATTGGACTGTATTCAACTGTATGACCTAGGACTTGGGGGCAGAGGTTTAAAGCCAAAGTAAACGCACAAATTTATTACTCACAATTTGTCAACAGAGATCATAGGACTTGTATCCTAATATATTTTTAAAGTAGTAAAACTATAAGCATATGTGACCAGTATGTGACTGAAAGTCAAATTATGCCATAAATATTTATCTTATTAACAGGCCAAGTTTTTGTATGTGGTTAGCTTCCATTCTGCTGGAAAAATTAGTCTTGGGAGCTTTAAAAGCCTAAACACACCCAGAAGGATCCAATTTAAAAAAACACCTTATCTAATCCACGTGTTGCTCACATATTAAACCTATAAGTTATTTATACATATATGTATATTATACAGTCTCAGCTGTCTTAGATTAAGGGCCATGGACTGGCTAGGCTGAGATTTCTGTGGCTTTTGGGATGCGAATTTGGAAGACAAGAGATTTTTTTTTAAGTTTATTGTTTTTTATAGTTTGAATTTTATAGATGCTTTTAATGTGTTATTGCAGGCATTGTAGGACAGCCATGTTAGTCTATGTTTGCAAGAAATCAGGGGCATTGCCGCCTGGTAGCACCTTTTCCAACTAACAAATTATTAAAAGCCATAAGTTTTTGTGAGCTGCAGCTGAGTTCATCAGATGCACAGAACAGCAAGATTGATGTACTGTCAGGTCCAGAAATATTGGGACATCGACACAATTCTAACATCTTTGGCTCTATATACCACCACAATGGATTTGGAATGAAACAAACACAATGTGCCTTAACTGCAGACTGTCAGCTTTAATTTGAGGGTTGAACGGTGTAGGAATTACAACAGTTTGCATATGTGCCTCCCACTTGTTAAGGGACCAAAAGTAATGGGACAATTGACGGCGCTTCACAGTACAGATGGACAATGACCCAAAGCATTCTGCAAAAGCAACCAAAGAGATTTTGAAGGGACAGAAGTGGAATGTTATGCAATGGCCAAGTCAGTCAACTGACCTGAAGCCCATTGAGCATGAATTTCACTTGCTGAAGACAAAACTGAAGGGAAAATGACGGCGCTTCACAGTACAGATGGACAATGACCCAAAGCATTCTGCAAAAGCAACCAAAGAGATTTTGAAGGGACAGAAGTGGAATGTTATGCAATGGCCAAGTCAGTCAACTGACCTGAAGCCCATTGAGCATGAATTTCACTTGCTGAAGACAAAACTGAAGGGAAAATGACGGCGCTTCACAGTACAGATGGACAATGACCCAAAGCATTCTGCAAAAGCAACCAAAGAGATTTTGAAGGGACAGAAGTGGAATGTTATGCAATGGCCAAGTCAGTCAACTGACCTGAAGCCCATTGAGCATGAATTTCACTTGCTGAAGACAAAACTGAAGGGAAAATGACGGCGCTTCACAGTACAGATGGACAATGACCCAAAGCATTCTGCAAAAGCAACCAAAGAGATTTTGAAGGGACAGAAGTGGAATGTTATGCAATGGCCAAGTCAGTCAACTGACCTGAAGCCCATTGAGCATGAATTTCACTTGCTGAAGACAAAACTGAAGGGAAAATGACGGCGCTTCACAGTACAGATGGACAATGACCCAAAGCATTCTGCAAAAGCAACCAAAGAGATTTTGAAGGGACAGAAGTGGAATGTTATGCAATGGCCAAGTCAGTCAACTGACCTGAAGCCCATTGAGCATGAATTTCACTTGCTGAAGACAAAACTGAAGGGAAAATGACGGCGCTTCACAGTACAGATGGACAATGACCCAAAGCATTCTGCAAAAGCAACCAAAGAGATTTTGAAGGGACAGAAGTGGAATGTTATGCAATGGCCAAGTCAGTCAACTGACCTGAATCCCATTGAGCATGA